AGAACTATTATATTAAAAATTATCATGATACCTTCCGGGGCGCCTGGGTGGCTCAGTCGTTAAGCGTCTGCCTTCGGCTCAGGTCATGGTCCCAGGGGCCTGGGATCGAGCCCCGCATCGGGCTCCCTGCTCCGCGGAGAGCCTGCTTCTCCCTCTCCCACTCCCCCTGCTTGTGTTCCTGCTCTCGCTATGTCTCTCTCTGTCAAATAAATAAATAAAAATCTTAAAAAAAAAAAAAAAGAAATTAATAGTAGAGACATAAATATGTATGCACACACACACAGACCACATATACACTCAACACTCACAATAAAAAGGAAAAGCTGTAAGTAGAAAAAGAATTATGCAGATAAAGAGAATGTTATAAAGTTAAGAGTAAACTAAAACATATTACTCACTTCTAGTAGAAGTAAAATTAGTTAATTATTCATAAAAAAATAGAACAAGTTGCTTTGTTTCTGTTTCAACAAAATAATTACTGGATCAAAACTGCTTGTTAAACTGTGAACCAACAGGTTAATAAACAAAATGTGCTTTCATGTGTGATTTTATTCCTGGAACCTATCATTGTTTAGTGATTATAACATTTCTCACTGAGGTAATGACAAAAATCTATGATGACTACATATTACCAAAGCACAGGTTGATTGTATTTCTCTTAAACTGCTATGAATTGACATTTTTTTTTTCTCAGACCAGATAATGTCTTCCATACATTTAGCTTTCAAGTTAATGAATGGATGAATGAGGATAAGTCCTAGGTTTTTTTGCATTGAACTCTAATACACTCTTGCCTTTGAAATAGGCTGTCAGAGGAGTTCCATGTATGTTATATAACACACACACACACAAGAGCAGAGAATAAATTAAAACACTATGCCTATCTAAACAGAAATGAAGCCAAAATTGTCTTTGTAATGTATGACTCTTAATGGTCAGTAGTGATGAATGATTTTGACATACACTGTCTGTAGCAATCAAATAATCAATATAGATTCAACTCAAGAACTATTTTTGAGCCTATTATGATAACATGTTTGTGTGGCCTTTACACTTTAGGAAACACACTCACCCTTTTTTCCTCATTCGAGTTCACAGCAACTCTCTGAACGATGTTATTTTCATGCTCATCTTTTAGAGAAGAAAGCCATAGTTAATAGGAGTAGTAATTAACAGAATTATGGATCTCAAATCCTGTATCCTTTCTAATAGCTTATATTATCTCTTCTATGTATAAGCACTCGGTAAGGGGTACAGAACAAATCAAACAATTTCTTGATAACTGACTTGTATTGCACTTTCCACTTTACAAAATATTAACATCTATATTATCCCCTTTGTGACAGTGACCTTTTGAGACAATAGCTCAAATATTAAGGAAACGTAAACACCAGAGAAAAGGATAACAGTAGACTAACAATAAGACAGCATTTGATCAGGGCTTTGGTTGATCAGGAGAGAAGGGATCCCATCCAGGTAGGAGGATCAGGAGAGTCAGCTTGGATTTCAGCATAATTGCAACAAATTGATACACAAAGTCAAATGAGGGCTACTCATCTTTAAGTTCTGATCCTACATGGGTTCTCTGAAAATCTTCCATGCTTCCTTGGTCAAAGATTTTCCAGAGGAGAAAAAAAAAACCAAAAAAACAGAATACTAGTTTCAACATCAAAAAATAAGGGTTCCGGGCACCTGGGTGGCTCAGTCGTTAAGCGTCTGCCTTCGGCTCAGGTCATGATCCCAGGGTCCTGGGATCGAGTCCCGCATCGGGCTCCCTGCTCGGCGGGAGGCCTGCTTCTCCCTCTTCCACTCCCCCTGCTTGTGTTCCTGCTCTCGCTATATCTCTCTCTGTCAAATAAATAAATAAAATCTTTAAAAAAAAAAAAAAAGTAAGGGTTCCCAGAGAACAAATATTTCTGAAGTCATTAGAGAAGAAATGTATATGTCAGACCAAGTAAATTTCCAAAATAATATTAATCCTAAGCAAAAGTACAGTTATGTATTATAACGAAAAAATAAATATAATGACCTAAAATTGAGAAAGTCTGGCTTTAGGAAAAGTTGTAAGATTCAAGACATTTTTCGCTGTATAGGATAACTGTTCAATCCCAAACGTCCATTCCTTTCTCATTCTTGAAATACCAGAACCAGGTGGCGAGAACAATGGTATTTTTTAAAAGATTTTATTTGTTTATTTGAGAGAGAGAGAGCACAAGCAGGGGGAGGGGCAGGCAGGGGGAGCGGGAGAAGCAGGCTCCCCACTGAGCAGGGAGCCCTACTCGGGGCTCAATCCCAGGACCCTGGGATCATGTCCCGACCTGAAGGCAGACGCTTTAAACAACTGAGCTACCCAGCCATCCCAAGCAATGGTATTTCTAGCAAGTAGCATGGTGACATAGAATGGCAAAATGGGAGGGACCAGGTGATAAATACAAAAGTCACTCTTAGGACAAAGATGGAAGGGTTGAAACCAGAGTTGCCTTGTCGGATACATTGTGCTGCCCAAGGCGTCAGCTGTAGTAAAGACTGTAGGGTAGAACATGGGATGTGATTAACATCAGAAGATTCAAAACTTCAGTGCTCAAACGTATCTGCCCATCACAGCTTTCCCTCAGTTGGTGCTGCTGGCCAGAGGTGTGTAGGTAGGTTAAAGGTCAAGAACTGTAGAGGACAACGATCTGTGGAAGGAAGGTGAGATGAATAAAACCTAGCAATTTTCAGTAGCAGTTAAGTTCAGCATGTGTTTCATCTGTATCGTTTGCCTGATTTGCCTTCCTTTTATTTATTTTTTATTTTATTTTTTTCTGATTTGCCTTCCTTTTAATCCAGATACTTGGGTCATCTTCCCCAGATTAAATCTTTTTGGTTAAGTTTGACAATAATCACTTTAGAATCTTCATAGGAATTTCTAAGCTAAAAGTAATGTAGACATCAGAGAAAAGGGAATTTATACTACTTGTTTTCATCAGGACACTCACATATATGAAGATAAAGAGTGTAGCTTTAAAAGCAAAATTTACATCATCACTACATTAGTTATGTTGTTCTATGGAGAAAAGGGAAACTAACAAGTTGATAGAAAAGCATCACAGAATGTATAGTCTGTGTCTACATGTAGGAAGTAAATGTGAAGAAAAAGAGCCTAGGTTTTGTCATTTTAAGACACCTGTAGTAATTACTTTTAGCCTTTTTGGACCCACACCAGCTCTTCTCCTCCTCTGGAATGGAGCCTCAGCCCCACAAGTTTTTCACTGTTACTCCCTGATCTGCCCAGGCCTCTCATTCCATGCTTACTGGTGTTGTTATCTTGACATACTGGCAATGAGGACCATGTGGTCTCCTTTTTTGTATGTAAGAGTTACACATTTATGTAGTCCCCCTTCATAGTGTGCAAAACATTTCCCAAATATAAGCTCTGTTAATCCTCACAGCAACCCCAGAGGTAGGTATTTTTATGAAAGCTTTTATGTAGATGAGGGAAGGTTGACCTACTATGTTCCAATGACCTGACCAAGTGGCCAAAACAGACTCAAGCCCACTGGTAAGTAGCTAAGCTGACCTAGAATCCTGTCCTCTGACAGCAGGGCCAAGGCACAACCCTACCCTTCTGCCTGATTCTCAATACATAAACTTTAGTACTTGGAGAATTGAAATACAAGAACACATGTATTAATATGAGTAACTGTTATTAAAATTTTAAACAACTTATAGAAGAGGATACCTGCTTATTTATACATCTTTTTTATCAGTTTATTGATTTACAAGTTAGTTGTGTCTGAAAAGATTTGTGCTGAGTCAAAATATATATATACCAATGCTTACTTTCTTTTTAACTCACATTATGAAGAAGACCAGGAATGAATATGCCTCAATTTATTTGACTCTATAAACAATCTTTATTGCCATAAAATATAAATAAATAAGCTTAAGATGTAGCATCTTTTAAAACTCAAATCAAATAATGGGATAATTGTCTGGTAAAATAACCATAATCAAAATGAGTAAAAACCACAAGGCTTTTGAGATAACCATGTATACATAGGAATAAGTTAGAGAAGGAGGTACATTAAATGATCTTGTTTATTCAGTACCCAATGCTTCTTGATATTTTCACAGGAAATGAAAACCAACCGCTAGGGGAAATAATTATTATGTTGTCAGCATAAATCCCATCTGGGCGAATTTCTGTAAATGGAACGCGCACACCCTGGTAATTAGAGGGTATTCTATTAATGTAGAATGTAGCTTCATTTGTTGAGCACTTATTATTTGCAAATAACTCTACTAAACTCATTGATTTAGTATTTCACACCCTGGAAATTAAGAAGTAGTAATCTTAATTGTACGGATGAGAAAACTGAGGCAGAAGGAGGGTTAACCATTTTGGCTTTGCACCACAAAGCTAGTAAATCTAACACCAGAATTTTATTCTTAACCATTGCAGTTAACCACATCTGCCAACAGAATTTAGACTCTAAAATGTCAGAGTATTGTTCACATAAACAAGTTGTCTGAAAGACAATGCATGTACTTTTGTACTTTTTTTCTCAGTGAATTTTTGTCTTTTTCACTTAGATTTGAACTTGTCAATGAAATTTCTTTATCTTCCCTCCTTGAGTGAACAAGTTCTATGTTTTATTTGATTTTTTCCCTTTGTTTTTGCTGTATTTTTTCCTCAAAGAGAATATCCTTATTAGAAAAGAATATATATAGCCAGGAAGATCCATCTCTTTATGTAAATCTTTATTTCTTTATATACGAGTACCATCTGGACTTCCTAATTTTTGATAATTCCATTTAAAAATAAGTATACTGAAATGAAAATACACATAGGTATAGGTACATAATTTACATGACTGAATAAATTCAACTGGAACATAATATTACCTTATCTTCCTCACACAGAGTTTACCCTTTCATAGACTGTTTTTCATGGTTTATCCAAATGGCTCGTGAGCAACCCAAGGTAGTAGTCATTTGCTTTCTCCCCCCCCCCCCAGAAGCTCAGAAGAAGCAATTGGAAGAGAGTATAGAGCTGATCCAAGATGAATGTGTGTCAGAGAATGCAGATCACTCTACAGAGGAGCCTGCTGAAGGAGGGCCAGATGCGGATGGAGAAGAGATGACTGATGGGATAGAGGAGGACTTCGATGAAGATGGGGGTCATGAGCTGGTAGGAACTAAACATTTGGTGTTCACACCCCTTGGTAATAGCACCAGCATGTCAGCAACTCATTCATTCTAAAATAAAGATTTAATATTTGGGGCTTATTTCATTCTTATATGCATATATTTAAGGCAACATCAGTACAGTGCTTTGCACATAATAAGTGCTCAATACATTCATGTTAACTTAAAATATGACAGAGTGAATGAATGGACAATTGAAATATTATCTATGAGACTAGTTATAGTTAAAGTGAAATGAAAGATTCTCTTTCCCAAATGCTCCATCACAAAAGGAATCTTGCATTTGAGCAATTATATGTGAACTGTACGTTGATAAAATATTCTTGCAACAAACGACCATCTAATGGAAAATACATGGCTCCCTCTCTTATTAAATAGTGTCATTCACTGATGATAATTATCTTTACTAGTTGTATGGCCAACAGTTATTTCCATAGTCTGCAGACTAAGATGACCCTTGATATATGGCCAGTTCACCATCTTTAGAACATGTGCTGCTTGATAGTTTTTATGAGTTGGGGATTTAGCCAAGACTTGACTCCTTATATGTTTTATTTCCCCAATTTTGTTATAATCATAGTGCTCAGATCTAATGTCCTTTCCTATATATGTACACCAGGGACTTCATAAATATACGCTGATGAGGATGCGATTTCTCATATTTTATCATCCATGAAATTAAACATACTATCTTAAAGGGATTGACTAATAAAAATGATGAGAGGGTGGCAAGTGTGAGTGTGTGTGTGTGTGTGTGCACGTTGCCAACTCTCAAATATCTAGGGACTGATCATATGAAATTTGACTTATCCCAGGTAATATCAGATTCCAATTTGTTATAATACCTATTATTACTTAACTAATTTTGTCATGGTGGTTGTTGTTTTGGTATGGTAACTACCCTATCAATCGTTTCATTTAGGAAGGTCTATATTGATTTTTAACATTCTAGTTCTGTTTAAATTGTATGGGACCTTCATTTAAACTTTTCAGAGACTTTAATAACCACCCTTTTTTCTCCAAAAGTCGGCATCAGCTTGAAGGACTTAAGTCACTTTTTAGGATGGTTTTTGATTTCAGAAATCTATTAAGCAGGGACTAGAATGAAGGACTAACAGATCTTTCAGCTTTTCCTCAGGCCAAACCAATTCAATAACTTAATTTCCTCAGCCCATTCTTATCAGACTTCTGTTTTTACCATTCTATTGTGAGTGCTTTTGCCAAGGTCTCTGGAGCCCCCTGTGTTGCCATTTCCAATGGTTACCTCTCTGTTCTTATTTTCATTTACTTCTCTGAAGAATTTGGCTGAGAATTGATTAGGAGAATTCTGAGAAATTCTCCTAACATACCAATTGTTCATTCCCATTTTCCTGTGTTAGAAACTTTGACTCCATACTCCCATTTTAAATATTAGAGTAGCCCAGGGCTTTGTCATAGGCTACCTTCTCTTTCTACACACTTTTCCAGGATGACTTCAATCAATAACAGAGCTTTAAATGTCACCTATAGGTCAAAAAATTCCTAAATCTAAATTTGTATTCCTGATCTCTCCCTGGAATTCTAGACTCATGTATTTAGATGACTGTCTCTTCATAGATCTCCTCCAATAAACAATTGAAACTCAACATGACCAAAACATTATTGGTTTTTTTCCAGTCATCTTATCCCTTCCCAGTCTTTGTCATTCTGATAAACAACTTCATTATCCACACAGTTGTTAAAACCAAGGAGACTAGGATTACCTTTGATTCTCTCCACCCTCCTCTATTAATTCTACTTCAAAATCATAACCCAAAGCTAGTTACATCTCCACTACAGCCAGACTGATTTTCTTGGTTCAGCTCATGCAATCCATTCTCCACACAAGAAAGATAAAAATCTTCATAAACTATGTACATCAGGTAATGTTACTCCCTTGCTTAAAATCCTAGAGTGCTTTCATTCTGCATGGAGCACTGGGTGTTATGCACAAACAACGAATCATGGAACACTACATCTAAAACTAATGATGTAATGTAGGGGATTAACATAAGAATAAAAAAAAAGAAAAAAAATCCTAGAGTGCTTTTTATGACACTTAAAATCAAAATCCCCAAGTGTATGAATGTAAATTGTGATGAGGTCGGGTGGAAGATGTCAATGGAGAGAGAGAACTTGATAAAGAGAAAGGGAGAAAGTTCCCAATGCTGAAGGGAAAGGAATCTAGAGCAGGTGTGTGGGGCTGGCCCTCAACATGAAGAGGAACACTCTACCACTGCAACTAACTGCAATAAGTCTGAGGATTTGGTGACAGGTGCTTAAGGGAGTTCAAGCACAAACTGTATAAGTCAGAGGGTGATCATCTCTGGAGAGTGAGAAGAGACAGGCAGGACCACAGATTGGAGGAGAATGGAGATTTAAAGAAGCTAGTATGTAAAATATAGAGGATCACTAATTTAGAAAACATATAAAGATTGACAGCTAGTGTTAATAGCCAATTGAGGTTAAAGACAAAGATTTAATAAGTAGTATTTTTCGAACTTTAGAGTCTATCAGGATTACCTGGAGAACTTGTTAAAATACAGATTGTTGTATTTCATTCCAAGAGTTTCTGATTCAGTATGCTGAGTGAGTCTGGGACTGCCTGTCTGGGGACCACACCTTGAGAACCACTGTTGTAGAGGCATTAATCAGCCCAGCTGTGGGGTGTTCTCCATTGGCTTGTGTCAGCCCTGGTAGAAGCAGGATTTTTGGATTTTTGTCAGATAAGCGCAAAGAAAAACAACAAATAAAGAGCATTGAGGACATTAGTAAAGACTGGCTAACTAGATGAATCATGCAGTTGAACCTGACCAGGGAAGAGGGGAACATAAGAGGGGGCTGACAAGGAGAAAATGGAGGCAGAAAGGGAAAGTCCTATGCATTTAAAGGGAGGGAAAATGAAATGCATATGAGAAAAGTGAAGGCTGTACTTAGAGACTGAGATATTTCAGACATGTGACAGTTAAGTGATAAGAAGATCCATAGGAGGCAGTGATGGAAGTGGGATCAGAGCAAAAGTCACTGCATATGAAGAATCAAGGAACTTCGAGGCTCAGCTGCAAGACTGGTCATCTACATGGGCATGAAATCACTCCAAATATCAGATAAAGGTAAAAGAGGAAGTAAAAGAAGTAAAAGAATAAGACAGTTACCAAAAGTCAGCTGCCATGAAAGAGACCGCATGGCCAGTGTTAGTCCCAGATCTGTTACTATCCAATCCAATTGAATCACCTTAAAACAAATAACTTCTCTGAGTCTCAGCTTCCTTATCTGAAAAATAGTAAGTTTAGATCAGAAATTTCTAAAATGCATTCTGTTTGATCTTTACTCCGAGTGAGTCTGTTCCAGGAGCACTACATCTGAAGGAGCAAGGATTGGTCATGCAGCCAAGGGAATAAATCCAAACCATGGTGCTTGGTTTACACTCTAAACACACCGATCAGCAGTAACTGATCAGCATTACTGTTGCTAGAGATGCTTGGGTTTTCTCCCTCTACCCTTGTGTTATAACTGGGGGCTTAGGGTACTGAAGAATTAAACCTTATATCTAATATCTCACTTTGTTTCTAAGACTTGGAAAACAATGAATGAGGTTGAGCAATCTAAACGGAGACTGATGAGTACGTCCTAGTGACTGGCCAAGAGAAAATTCCTCTATCTGGTGCCCACTGTTTTCTCCTTTCCAGACCACATGAACCAGATCATCCATGGTTCCTGAAAAGAAAAGTAAAAGCATAAATCTTCTCTTTTAGAAAGGCAGATATGATTACAGATTCAGGAAGGATACAATATAATTAGGTTTTTAACACATGCAGTAGGAGTCAGAAAGAAGAGCTAGAATCCACATGCTCAGGCAGGTGCTCAAAGAAAATCTGGAATGAACAGGAAACAAGAATTGTATCTGAAGCAAGAGAGATCCAGCAAAATGAGCTAATGGGACAGCTGTAGTTGGTGGTACCCCTGGTGGAGCATGTGAGAAGCTGAAGGCACAAGCTGTCCATTCATTGTCTCGTTCTAAATATCCAGTTAGTGAAACTGATTTCCATGAAGCAATCCATTCAGCTGACATTTGGGTGCCTATTCTGTGGTGCTACCAGGTGCTACTAAAAAATGCAAAGATAACTAAAACTATTGTTTTATGTATGAAATGAAATGTTTAAGTAAATGATTCCTTTTTTCAGGTAGCTTAGTGCCCTAAAGAACACTGATTTCCTCATGTAAAAAATAATAGACATGCACTTGGTAATTTATAAGCAGCCAGCGGAAGCTAAAAACCTGTGATTCTACAATTTTCTATGCCTACATATTTCATTAATGCATAGGAATTAAGACTTGAATTTATTTAAAATTGAACTCTGTATTAAAGAACTATATATACACTAGCATACCACTACCCTACTCCTATTTCTGAATAAATCCATTAGCAAATATTTATTGATTGAACACTAATGAATGGCACTGAGGTTTTTGCTATGGAAATAAAGAAGGAAAATCCTATGTTTTCCCTCAAGAAGGATATAAACCAACTGAGGATAAAGGCTACAGGTAAAAAAAAAAAAAAAAAAAAGCAGTATGTTAAGAACCATATGAAGATACAGTTTACAAATGGGGAATCACACATAGATAGGATGGTCCAGAAAGGCTCCTGGCAGAAGTAAAATTGGAACTTTATCTCAAAGGATGCCAAATTAAAGTGACAGTATGTGCTAAGCTTGAGAAAAGAATATTCAAATCAGCTTTCATTGTTCCCAGACCATTTTATAAAAAATATATTAAATATACAAAATACATTAGATACTTCGTATGATAGGTAGGTAGGTGGGTGGGTGGACAAATGGATGGATGGATAGATAGATAGATAGATAGATAGATAGATAGATAGATAGATAGATAGATAGATAGATGATAGATAGATAGATGATAGACTTTTTTAATAAAATGACTAAAACTTCACAAATAAGA